GGGCGCTGCACTCACCGGGCCGGGCCGGCAGCTCGGTCCGCGCTGGGCGCAGGGACGCCGCGACGCCGGTCGGCTTTCTCAATGACAACTTGGGCGCGGAGGAGAGCGGCTGCGGGCTCCCCGCGGGCGGCTCCGCGGTATGTGCAGCTTTATGTTTGCATGCGTGGGTCTCTTTTTAAAGAAATAAATAAATATCTCTATTAATATATATTTTTTTCACGGCACTGTCATGCTTTGATTGCATTATGATTGCGTTTGCATCGCTGGCGCCTCTGGGTGTGTGTGTGTGCGTGTGTGCGTGTGTGCGTGTGTGCGTGTGTGTGTGTGTGTGTGTGTGTGTGTCTGTGTGATTTTTTTCCCCTTTAAATCCTGCTGCTCCAGCCGCCGCCGCCGCAGCCTCTGCAAAAAGGAAAGCAAGCATGCGTTCATCTTTTGTCTTTCATTTTACCTTCAGGGTGACATTCAGTGCCAACTGCTCCCTTTTGACCGGCGCCAGTCCCCGCCTGGGCAAAACACATTTGCGAAGCGTGGGGGGAAGGGAAGGCAGCGCCCCCTCGGCCCCGAGCTGGGGGTTTCTGTGCCGCCCAAGCCCGAGCCCCATCTGCACGACCCGCTGCTGCCCGCTACCCACCAGGCCCAGGCCGACACGGGCAGAACCGGCCCGGAGCCTCCGCCCCACCGCCACGCGTGTCCGTGTCCGCGGCCGCGCTGCTGACCTGCGCGGCGGCTGCGCCCGGTGTGTAGGCCTCGCCACCACCCGAGCTATTTTCGTCTCCGGGAGATGTTCTTTAAAGCCTTTTAAAAATGGGGAGGGGGCAGGGAAGAAAAGACAGAAACCAGGAGAGGAAAGTCCAAGGCCCCATTTCAGAGGCTGTAGGGGCGCACCATCAAACTGGGGGAGGGGGCCCGGCCTCCGACCCGCCCGGGGAGTTCGGAAGGGCACAGCCAGCCACCAGCTTTATTTGACTTATTCTACAACCGCAGGAAAACTTTTTTTTTATTTAAAAATACAAAGCTGTTATTGGCAACTAGTCACTGTATTGGTCATTTTTATTATAATGCTGTCCGCGATCTGTAGGAAAGAGCTCAAGGATAATCCTGCGGTTATTTCTGCAAACAGGAAAATATATTTCAGCGGGGGGTGGCCCCAGGACGGATAAAGCACAGATAACTCCTTTCCATCATGTTTACTTTGCGCCGGCTGGGCATTGTCTGGTGTGTTTTATGTAACTTCTGGTCATCACCATATTGTGCATATTCTTCACCATGTGTACGTTCCTGAGAAATAGTATCAAGTCCCAGGTTCGGCAGACCTTCTGCCCTTCTTTATCGCTGATTACCATCTGCAGTAGGGACTGTGCTGAGGAACCCCCCCCCAGGCCAGGGTTGCCCTTGGCCACCACCACCCACTGGTAAAGTCACTGTCCCCTACAGATTCCAGGTTCCTACAGTGACAGCACAGCTGAGGTTGCAAAAATAAATCACTGGCGAGAATGTTGAATCAGAAAAGCAGAGGCGATGGAAAGAAGGCCTCCTAACTCTTCCCAGATCTGCTGCCCTTGGTTTGTACATGGTTTACCTACTTGAGAGGTTGGCTCCGTTGAATGTTGAATGAAAACAGCAAGTAACTTGTTGGGTCTTTTCCCTTCAGAGTCACAGTGCAAGAACCACTAGCAAATCCCAGGAGGAAGGCACTGTAATTACGCAAAGGCCAGACAATCCGAATTGGAGGAGAGCCTGGCTGAACAGACTAAGAGGGTCAGAGGACTATTGACGGTGGCCGCAGCCCAAGACTTGAGCAGTGCCTCCTCCCCACAAGTGGGCAGGCTCCTCGGTCCCCTTGGAGCAGAAGGAATTGCTAGTGCATGCGTCTAGTCCTGCCTAAAGGTTCTGAGGATCCAGGATGAGGAACGGGGCCAGGGCCCAGTCGAACGCCGGGGGACCATCCACGGGTGCGAGGGGTAACGTTGCAGTACCACCCCAAGAGGTGCCGCTCGTTAATATTCAGTCAGTTCCCCAGCTTTGCACTTATTGACCTTGGAACCAGACCCTTGAAGACCCATAACAAAGGGAAAGCGCCATAAAAATGTATTTAACTTTAGTCCCCTAAAATCCAATTTTATTTTTTTCTTTTCAGACAAATGCATCCCGTGCTGTTTGTCACCAGTCCGCAGGCCAATGCAGGGGCTGAGGGATCCTCTGCCCAGCATGGAGCTGCATCCCTAACTAGCAGAGCGGAGAGACAGCTGCTCAAGAGCTCCCAAGGTCTGACTGGGTGCTGCTGCTTCTTCTCTTCACTACTGGGCATTGAACCTGGAGCCTGCACCCTGAGCTCCATCCACAGCTTGGCCTTTTTCATTTTTTTATTTTGAGACAAGGTCTTGTTAAGTGGCTAATCTGTGCAGGCCAGACTTGGATCTAAGATCCTGCTGCCTCAGCCTCCCGGAGGCCTAGGGTTGCATGCGCATGCCACCATGCCTGGATGCATAGATGCCTTCAGAGGCGAGAATCTCCAAACCTTGCTCTGCCCAAGAGTGACTGTCTGTTGCTTTTTCAAGTTCGGATTCCTCGGCCTACTTTCCTGTCTGTATTCCTGGCTCCAGCCTAACTATAATAGTTAACGTTGTAGGATGTTCAGTTTCATTTTGCAGCCAAACACCCAAATGTGGGGGATAAATGCTTGCCAGGGCAGATAGGGAACATAGGAGGCGATATTCTACGTGTGACTTGTGCTTTCACTTGCAAATCTAAGCAGGGCACGGTGGCGCACAGCTGTAATCCCAGCACTGTGGGAGCCCGGAGCAGCAGAATCTTACATTTAAACCCAACCTGCACAATAGGGAGACTTACCAAAACCTTATGCTGAAATTGAAAATTTTAAAAAGAACTGAGGATGTAGCACAGTGTGAAGGCCCTGGGTTCAATCCCCAGGACCATTAAAAGAAACCTTGTAAATCTAATCTCCAAATCTTTACCAGGAGAGAGGAAGACTAGTATTATCCTCCCCATTTTACCCAAGGCAACTGAGACCTGGAAGAGTTGAAAAATTTCCCCCGAACCATAGAGCCAGGATTCAAATTCAAGTCCGAAAGCTTAAGCTCTCCCTGCAGAGCCTTCTTCTCGGAGGCCTACGTGGTCTTGCCTGCATTCCCACCTCAGGCAGCATCTGCTCAGAGCTGGTCGTGCTGGTGACCCCTTGTCTACCTAATGGCTCTGTCCACTCCTGCTGCAGCATCACTGCCCAAGCATGCCACGTCCACCTAACCCTCTGTAAGGTCTATTTGCTCTTCCAGTTCTACCCACTGGTCAAGGGCAAGTTCACATGTCCCTGTGCCCACAAAGCTGTTATTATTCATGGGAGTAGCGATCATTCCCTACGCTGTTTTACAGCCTTCGTGATTCCCTAGAACACCACCCTTCTCTAACTGTGTCTGGATTTGATCTGTATGCCCGTCTTCGCCTCCCAGTTCCTTTCTGACAGACTGAGGTATTTTCTCTGTCCTTTCCAGTTTTCCTCCAAATATAGAGCCAGCTCTCATTAAGTAACTTGCCCATAGGAGAGCTAGGGAGCCACTTTTCAATTTGATAGAATTTGAACGGTGTAGGGAACAAAAGCTTTATCCTTTTAACTGGAGAAATTATAAACTTGCTTCTCACAGTCCTAGGAAACAATCAAGTCACAACAAGGGTGAAATTATTTAACCAGAGAAACATACGTGGCTTCAGCAGAACTGGCCGTAGGGTGGGGAGGGTCGGCAGGTATGTAACTGCAGCATTTGGAAAGCTATGGTAGATTTGATCTCGGTTCTTTAGCTGCTAGGAGACCTTCCCCTCTACAGTTTACATTTTCTGATGTAATTAACTTTTTGTGATTGAAAGGACAGGAAAGCAAGAAGGGACTAGTGGCCCAAAGATGTGTGAGCTCGTGGGATCTGCTGCTGGTCAGGGCGTGTGACTCCGGGTGTACCGCTGAACTACTCCTGGCCTCAGTTCCCCACCCTGCCACGGTGGCGGACATTAGTGGCCAGGGCCCCTCCAGTTCTGCAAACCTGAAACACCATGGGAGATAAAGACCCCAAGGGAAAAAGGAGTAAGGATGTTCGCTCTACACAAAGACCTGGGTTTTGGAGATTACCAAAAACACGTTAAAGAGCTTAGGCGAAGCTAGCCAAGTTTGTATCTCTATTTCCCGAGCGGAGCTTAGAAGAACAAAATCCATACACAAAACCATACTCAAGCATATTTTCCAAAAGTGTGCTCTTGATGTGAAATACAATTATTAATAAGCCCAGCACATCAGCCAACATGATATTAATCACTCTCACACCTTCACTCTCTCCCTTTCTAACCCCACCCACACTACCAGCTTGTTGTACAGACACAGTTCCACAGGGACTGGTCCAATTTGTGTGCCTGACATCGCAACACAGACATCCCTGGTTAAATCACGACAGGCAAAAGCAGAGATCTCGGGGGCTGGAACCAAGAGATGACCGACCGCTTGTGTTTTTTGCAATTACTACTTGCTTTCCTGGAGTCTCCCTGTGTTCCTACTCAGTGATATTTTCACTAGGCTTTTGTTGGGAAGAAAAAGAAATAGCAGAAATAAAAAGGACACAATAGAAAAACAAAACACTGTCGTGGGTGCATTTCATTCTACACCTGAGTTGTATCTGTACAAAGTTTTCCAAAGTTAGTGCAGTATTTTGACACAGAGATTCAGGCTGCCTGGCTCAGACTCTAAATTGATTCCTATCACACCATACTGGTTAGAGGACTTCAAAAAGTCCTAGAATGAGTTGTGGGTAGAATGAGGCTGGTATGCAGGTCAGTTGCCCTGTCTGTAGCTCATTTTCAACAGATGTGGTACAGGTTCTTGAGAAAGAGGCAGCCAATAACATCTTTTTTTAAAATTTATTCATTTATTTATTTTTGGGGGGTTTTTCTCCGGTACTGGGAACCGAACTCACGACCTTGTGCTTGCCAGGCAGGTGCTTTGCCACTGAGCTAAATCCCCAGCCCATGAGCTAAATCCCCAGCCCAACATCTTAACTAAATAAACTCAGTAGAACATTTACTTAAAATAGGGATGTATACCATGCCCTGCCCCTAACATGAAGACAATTTCCTCTAAGCACAGGATCCATGATAGCTCTGTGGCTGTCTGGATGATCTAAGGGAGTCCTGAAGCTATAGGGAAAGTGTGTGTGTGTGTGTGTGTGTGTGTGTGTGTGTGTGTGTGTGTATGTGTGTGTGTGTGTGTGTTGTTCTCCAGAGATCCACACTTTCATCACATTCTTAGCTAGGTTCTTGATTCCAGAGACGTGAAGAGCCACTGAAATAAGAATCATTTTTTGCAGCCCTGAACTTAAAGAGAACACATATTTTTTGCAGCCAAATGTCATGCTGCCTACAGCACGGACAGTGCTCAACAATCACCAGTTTTCCGAATGATGGCCTTAAGACACAATGAAAGCCTCGATCATCAAAGAAATTTATTTTCAAGGTATTTTACTTAACTGACATACGAAAATACAGCAGCCTATTAGGACGATTTGAATATGGAGTTAAAATGGAGTTTGGGATTTATTAGAGGTAGATTAGAGCAGAGTGCGGGAGCTCAGAGAGATGAGGCACAAGGCAGAGGCACCGGGATCTTTAATTGTTTTGGGTGGTGGAGTCCGTGAAGAATGCTTGATTTGTCTGAGCCGCCTGGGCAATTCTCCTTGCCAGGCAAGGTGGGCTACATGGGAAAATACTCACTGTTTCAGACAGGACAATTAGGAGCCCTTGCTGCAAAGGGTGGCAGAGAACAGGGGCCAGGA